CATCGTCTTTCTAAATTTTAACGCGTCTTAGGGCCGTAGTGCGGTAGTGACACTTTTCCGGACATGGGTCCCTATACTCAAATGTTTTCTACTGTTGCACTGAATAACCCCTAGAAGTTTGATCCCATAGTTCTGAAACACCCTGTATAAACCCAGGGAGTGGCGTCTGGCAGCTGAGGTTGTCCATCCAAAAGAAGTTGAATAAGCTATTAAGACCTTTCAAACCCATATAAAGCACCTGGACCAGACCAAGCTTGGCAGAAATGGATATATTTCAGCCAAAGATTTCAGACCAATCAGCTTTACCTCCTTCGTACTTAAAACGTTGGAGAGGCTGATCGACGGATTCTTGAAGAACGGACCTTTGCTTACATATTTACTGGCCTCCTCCCAATATGCTTACAAGGAGGACAGATCCACGGATACTGCCTTGCACCACCTTGTGAGCGGGGTCGAGAGGCAATTGGAAGCAAAAGGATATGCCTTGGGCGTCTTCTTGGACATTGAGGGAGCTTTTGATAACACCTCATATGATGTAATCGGGAAGGCGATGACCAGACACAATATTCCAGCCGCACTAGCAGACTGGACGCAAAGCATGCTAACAAGAAGAACCCTGCTTGCTAATCATGGGGACTCAAACATGCATGGTTTTCTTGCCAAAGGATGCCCCCAGGGGGGAATTTTATCTCCCCTGCTGTGGTGCTTGGTTGTAGACAAACTTTTATATAAATTACAGAAAACAGGTTTCCTCGCCTTTGGCTACGCTGATGATGTGGCCATTATAGTGCGGGCAACTTTCTTTCAATACTTAAGGAGACTATGGGAAAAGCCCTTAAGATCACGCAAGACTGGTGTCAATCAAAAGGACTTAGGGCTAATCCATCAAAGACCAAGGCCATGATTTTCACCAAAAAATACAAACTTGAAGCCATTGAGCCGCTTAGACTCTAGCGGGAAGATATAGAATACGTCCAGTCATTAAAATATTTGAGAGTCCACTTAGACACCAAACTGAATTGGAAAACACATCTCGATATAAAGAAATCCAAATTCTACGCCTCATACTGGGCGTGTAGAAGAGCAATGGGCAAATCCTGGAATATTAAATTAAATACTGCTCTATGGATATACAAAGCGGTACTAGTACCGAGGGTAACATATGCTGCTGTTGTTTGGTGGCCTAGAGTAGAAAAGATGGAGTCAAAGAACCTACTAAAAAGCCTACAAGGAAAGTACTTAAGGGCTGCGGTAGGGACTATGAGAACGACACCAACAGAAGCGCTGGAAGTGGCGCTCTGCATTCCACCTTTAAGATTGGCTATCATCAGCGCTGCCAAACTCACAGCATATAGACTAAGGTGTCAGGGGGAGTGGAGAGATTTTGGAGTAGGTCATATCAAGCTCGAGTTTCTTCATAAACCTCCCTTTACCTTAAAACAAGATAGAATATCCAGAATACGCCAGGTGGACAAGGCGTTCTCCATAAACTTGACCACCAGGGCAGACTAGAAAAACAGAAATCTTTAGATCCAGCCGGGCACTCATGCATGGTTCACTGATGGATCTGGAGCAAACGGCTGCTATAAAGCAGACATCTAATGTCCGGGATCAAATCACAGAGAGTTTTTCTCTCTGGGTGAACTGGCCACGGTCTTTCAAGCGGAAGTCCTGGCCATTCTGGAATGTGCAAGACTCCTACTCTCAAGAGAGACAAAAACTAGAAAGATCAATATCTATACGGATATCTATAGATCTTACAGATCTATGTGACAATAGGGTCTCATATGCCCCCCGCTCCATGTTATCTATCTATCTATCTATCTAACAAATTTTTCAAAATGTCTTTCTATATTATATGTTTATTATACATACTTCTTATAAAATTGTATTATTTTATCGTATTATTTCATAAAACATTATATATAATTACAATTGATACCAATTTGATTAATGCGTTAAAAAAAGTACAAAATAAAATATTTTATGGTGTCTTTTGTTTGTTCTAAAAAATTCTAAACCGGGGAGGGAATTCTATCTAAAGTTAATACTAGGGTACCCTCCCCTCCACGGGGAGGGTATTCTCTATCTAAAGTTAATACTTTTAGCAAATACAGATCTTCTCTATCAAAACACCTGGCAACTTTAGCTTTCCTTAAAAGGTGTCGGGACAATAACATCGTCTCAAAATTCCTTCACATAAAAAACCATTTCGGCACAAAGAACGCAAACAACATCCTGCAAAAAGCCGGTCTTCAACTAGTGAAAGAGCGCATTTCCCATATANAATATCAAATCTATCATATTTCTCAGAAACTATTCCATCTTCATCTGCATCTATCTGCCTGCCTTAGGCCAGATCTGTGGCTTATACTAAACCGTATAACATACGAACAAGCAGAACGCATACATCTGCACTCATCTCAACAGATAAGAAAATATCAGAAATTAGCACCACAGAAAACTACCATCCGTCCATTACTAAACACGGTAAAAAATCTGTCCAATAAAACCTTTTCTGCCGAAACGTTCTCAGCCTTGGCCAAAGGCCACAATTTCGCGGTAACCCCAACTAAACTCCNAAAAGAGACAATAATTAGTCATATAGAAACAGCCATACACTTTCTTCCCCAAGAACCTGCTAACAATATCCGCAGACTAGTGGCTAACATACTGAATAAATCAAATTTGCCAACTCATAATCTTACTAGATCTGAACGCTGTGCTTTGAAACAATTAAATAAAGACACAGATATTATCATCCTTCCAGCAGATAAAGGCAATACAACAGTGATCATAAATAAAACAGATTATGACACTACACTTCAGTCATTACTTACAGACTCCACGTATGAAAAACTTAAGAAAGACCCTACTGCTTCACTAAAAACTCTTACCACCAATCTCATTAAAAAAAAAAACAATTTCCCAGACATGTTAATACCCAGAAACGCGGTACCACCTACACTATATGAACTACCCAAAATCTATAAAAACAACATACCCCTCAGACCCATAGTAAGCGCTATACACTCACCTACATACGATTTACCTCGCTTCCTGGTCAGCAAACTAGAACCTCTCACGGGTAAAACTGACACCACGATAAAAAAACTCATCTGACTTCATTTCTAAAATCAAAAACATCAAACTTCAACCTAATGACATCTTAGTCAGTTTTGATATTGTGTCCCTGTTCACGCAGGTACCAATCCATGACACTATTAACATAATTAAATCTTCAAGTCAACTATCATCCGACCTTATATCATTGGTAGAACATTGCCTGACCACAACCTATTTCACCTTCAATAACCAATTCTATAAACAAATCACAGGTGCAGCTATAAGATTACCGATATCTCCAATCATAGCAAACATAGTTATAGAACACTTCGAATCCCAGGCCATCAAAAAAGCCCNACTAAAGCCACAAACATGGTACCGGTACGTAGATGACACCTTTGTCATTTGGCAACATAAGGAAAGAGAACTCTATAACTTTTTAGACTTTCTCAATAAACAACANCCAAACATTACCTTCACATTAAAAACAGAACAACATGGTAAACTTCATTTTTAGATGTTCTGGTCACAAGAAAACCAGACGGCTCTTTAGGCCATCAAATCTATAAAAAACCCACCCACACCAATCGATATTTACACGCGGCATCACATCATCACCCAAAAACAAGCTGTGATAAACTCGTTGATCTATAGAACATTTACTATATGCGACAAAGACAGCATTCAAAACAAACTCAAACAATTAAAAAACACTCTACAACAAAATGGCTACACACTGCAACAAATAAACAAAGTAATTAAAAAACTTCAAAATAAACTCTCTACCCCACCACTCAAAATACACCAGCACCAGAACAAACAACAAACTTAAAGAAACAAACCACTTACCTCCCATACATAAAGGGTGTCACAGATAAGATTGGCAGAATCCTGAACAAACACAACATACAAACGGTCTACAAACCACCGAATAAAATAGGACAGATTCTTAACAATCCAAAAGACAAAAGACCACCTCTAGACACACCAGGAATGTACAAAATACCTTGTTCATGCGGTAAAGTAAACATAGGTAAAACTGGTAGAATGATAAGCACACAACTAAAAGAACATCAGTCAGCAGTACGTCTAAAACATTACTCACAATCGGCATTAGCAGAACACCATTTGGAAACTGGTCACAAAATTATGTTTGACCAAACCCAAGTACTAAACAAAACTAGGGCTTACTTTCCTAGAAAGTATGCGGAATCTCTGGAGATATACAAACATCCAAACAATCTCAATAGAGACAATGGACATATGACTAGTTCACTATGGCATTCCATCTTGCCATAACACATCCTCCTCTCCTTCTTACCATTTCACCCCTTCTCCATCACACCCCTCCCACTCCAATCTAGCGCTACAATAAGGGACACCTGACCAAGAGCATATCAGTATCAAGCTGCTTTGCAAACCCTGATGAAGTGAGCTGTAATGTGCACGAAACGTCGGTATAAAAATGACACTAACGCGGTTCAAAACCCGAAAAAACATCTTTGTATGTTAATTCTAAACCGTGTTACCCCATTGCAAATATATTTTTTGTTTTACTTAAATGTTACTTTAACTGCAAATGTAAATTGTTTTTACTATATGACAAAGATACTTGTTCTCAAACAAGAAAAAGCCTTCGTTTCATGACGAGTATACGCGACATAAACATCGAAAAGATTAATTTAATATATTGCGTTTTTATATATATAAATAATAAAATATAATGCTATATATGTCCGGTTTTTTAATATACATGTATAATTATAATGACATCGGTAATTACAATACAATTGTAAAGGTATACATATACATATATATATACACACACACACTTTTAAATTACAATATTAATTTTTATACTGCGAAGACGTAATGATTCAATTTATTACACACACACACACACACACACACACACACACACACACACACACACACATATATATATATATATGCATTTGTGAAACAGGCCAATAGTGTTACGTTTTGAGACACAAATAGTAAAGGAAAGCATTGACATTATCGATACGACGCAGTTGTGGATCAGGTGATTGCTACAGTTAGTTAGGACGGCGCCCGTTGGCGCTACTTACCGCTAGGGAATACCGTCCCTCTTACCCCTAGCCCTCCGCGTCCACAAAACGATTCAGTGACCGCGACTGTACTCTGAGTAATACTTTGTGAGACAAAATAAAGACATTTTAAAGAATTGTTGGTTGCGATTCTTACAGAGGAAGCTCGTCGCTTCCAAGAGACCGCCGTCAAAGAGACCGCCATAAAAGTCGAGAGGCGAAGACCGCCGTACGTTAGTATAAACAAGATAAAAAGATACGCGCCGACACCGAAACCAAAACAATCGGTGACTCTACTGATCTAGAAAGCGAAACACGGGCGTAGTTACTCATCTCTGAGAGATCAATGAATGAGAGATCGGTAATTCGGTAGAGATCATGGAGAAAATAGATAAGGGACGAATCGAAAGGTAGAGATCAAGAAATCCAAACTCTCTGATCTCTAAACAAAAACCCCGGATCTTGGATCCGCAGTTGGAACTGGAGAGCAGTTCCGAAGCAGTTCTAAATCAAGAGTCACGTCAAGCATTGCGAGCGCAAATACTTATACTTTGTAAAAAATTGTACCTTGAGTAATACTTTGTGAGTAAAATAAAGGCATTTTTGAGAAATGTTGGTTGCACTTCTTAGACTATAAAATCTACGTAAATTTCAAATTTTTTACACAGTTATCTTAAAATTATATTAAAGGTTTTTAATTGGCGTTGTTACTTTATTATTATTATAAAATATATCACGTCTTTTGTAGCATAAATTTTATATGTAAATT